AAAGCTGGGAAAGACAATTTGGGAGCTGATTCTCTTTCAAGGAGGCCATTAAATGCTGAATTTCTGGCTCTTGCTATTCCTGTGCCGATGGATTTTTCCAATTGGCAAAATGCTCTCCAAGCAGATACATATACTCGTGAGATTATTCAAGCTATTCACCATGATCCTTTCTTACAACCAGATTTTCATCTTGTGGATCAGAAACTTTATTTCAAGGAAAGGTTGGTCGTTCCGGAGCAAGCTTCTATTCGACAAAAGCTTCTCTCAGAGTCTCATGATACACCTTCTGCCGGGCATGGAGGATACTTAAAAACCTTGAAGCGCCTTTCCTCCAACTTTTTCTGGCCAAGGATGAAGAATGATGTTAAGATCTTTGTTCAGAACTGTTTGGTTTGTCAACAAGCCAAATACCAAGCTCTAGCACCTGCTGGACTTCTTCAACCCTTGCCTATACCTGAAAGAATTTGGGAAGATGTCTCACTTGACTTCATTGTAGGACTTCCCAAATCTGGTGGTTTTGATACAATTTTGGTTGTCGTAGATCGTCTCAGCAAGTATTCTCATTTCATCCCACTTTCTCATCCATATACTGCCAAGATTGTTGCTAAGTTTTTTTGCAGAGAAATTGTGCGTCTTCATGGCATTCCTCGGTCAATTCTATCTGATCGGGATGTTATCTTTCTCAGTGCTTTTTGGAGATACTTGAGGCTGCAATGATCTCGGTAAGAATGGGTACCTCTTACCACCCACAATCTGATGGACAAATAGAGGTTGTTAACAGATGCTTGGAATCGTATTTACGATGCTTTGTTATGGAGCAGCCTCGTAGATGGAGTCAATATCTACCATGGGCAGAGTTTTCTTTTAACACGGGCTTTCACTCATCCACAGAAACTACCCCATTCAAAGTTGTTTATGGTAGGGACCCACCATCCATTTCTCCTTATGTTCATGGAGAAACAAGCATTGCTGAACTTGAAGAACAACTTTTGAATCGTGATGCCATGCTGAAAATTCTCACGGATAAACTTTTAAAGGCTCAAACTCGAATGAAACAGCAAGCTAATTCTCATCGTAGAGATGTTACCTTTCAAGTTGGAGATTCTGTCTTTCTACGTGTTCAGCCTTACCGTCAACGTTCTTTGGCTCATCGCTGGTGCGAAAAATTGTCACCTCGATTTTTTGGACCATATAAAATTGTACGATGTGTTGGACCTGTAGCTTATGAACTGGAGCTTCCTGCTTCCTCCAAAGTACATCCGATTTTTCATGTATCTGTGCTCCGTCCAGCTCATGGTCAGCAAGCTGTTATACCACCAGCCCCTCTTCCTCTTAATGAAGATTGGGAACTCACCATATCTCCTGCCAAGATTTCTTGCACATCGATGGGTTAAAGAAGCTGGTTCTTCTTCTTTGGAACTGCTCATTCACTAGGTTGACCGTTCGCTTGAAGAAGCTAGTTGGGAAAACTATGATCTCATTGCAGATCAGTTTCCTTCTTTTTGCCTTGAGGACAAGGCGACTTTTCAGGGAGGATGCACTGATATGAATGCTCCTTTAAGGACTTACTCTAGAAGAAAATATAGGCGAGCAACATGTGGAGATAATCTATCTTAGTTTATCTGTGTCTTACTTTCTTTATATTAAGTAGGATAAAATATATAAGCAGTAATTATCTATAGTAGTTATAAAGTAGAAGTTATTACCAGCAGGCAGCAGCAGTTATTTACAACAGTAACTGTTTCTATCTCTATCTGTTAGGAGTTATTTATGTTTACTATAAATATTTGTATTTTAGGAGAATTCTGGGAAGGAAAAATATTATTATGTCTTTATATCTGGAGATTTGTCCACTCCATACGGACATTGTTATTGGTTAATGCAGTGTTTAAGATTCTTTCACTTTATTTAACCACTAAAGTTTCATTTTCATTTCGTTTCATATTAGTTTCTATCAGGAACACTCATCAATAGTGTCTTGGATAGTATTCCCACCTATTTTATGTCCCTTTTCCCTATGCCAGTTAAGGTGCAAAAACATCTTGACAAGATTAGAGAGACTTCCTCTGGGAAGGTAATAGTAAGGACCGCAAATTCCACCCTGTGAATTGGGCCAAAGTTACCAGGCCAAAGCAGTTTGGAGGCTTAGGGATTAAAGACCTGACATTAAATAACAAGTGTATGCTAAGAAGTGGCGTTGGAGGTACAATCAGGAGACAACTGGTCTATGGAAGGAGGTGATCCAAGCAAAATTTGGTATCACTCGTCACTGGTGCTCTAATGAAGCACATGGGTCTGAAAAGCTATGAGGAAGTCGTGGGAGGTCTGCTATAGCAATGCTACTCTCAAAGTGGGAAGTGGGGAGCACATCCAGTTTTGGGAAGACACTTGGCTGGGAAACATCCCTCTTATGAGCATATTTCTTAGAATATTTCAAATTGCCTCCAATCCAGAATCAACCATCTCTTAGTGTTGGGAAGAATGTGTGACTCTGAGGAGAAATTTAAATGACTGGGAGTTGGAAGAATTTATAGCCCTCATGGCCACCATCCAGACCAGCTCAGTCCACAGCCAAAGCAGGGATAGACTCACTTGGGGAAATAACAGGGATGGCTCCTATTCGGTCAAAGAAGGCTACTTACATCTAACTCAAGGAAGACGCTTATTGATCTATGGCTCTGTAAACTTATCTGGAGAACTTAGATGCCTCCAAAAGTGATCTGTTTCAGCTGGATCAGTCTTAATGGTTCTTGCCTCCAAAAGAGACCCCTTTCCTCTATTAAGGCTAGGTGTTTGATTAGTCTTTTTAGTTTGGTCAACCACTCCTCTGTAATTACGGTTAAATCATTCCTAGAATTTATCAGCTCCATAGATCTTGATAGTTGTGATAGCTTTTTTTGCCTTCCTGGGAGCTGGTAATCTCTTTGTAATGCTTGCATCTTCTTGATGCTTCTTGTTAATGATATCCTTCTTATTCCATCAAAAAAGGGGAAGTGGGGAAACATCCTTTTTCTGTCTTCTCTCCACAGAGGCAGGAGAGCACCGCCAAGCCAACCAGAAAGCAGAAACTGCATGAGGTAAGACAAAGGGAAGACCTGGAACTCTTATCTAAGTCCCGGCAAACTGGATTTTTCCTGCACACATCCAGACGATGGTGACTGCAGGACAACTGCAGAGATTTTCACTCCCACTTCCAGTCCCAAATCAGAATGTGTTCCGTCAGTTTCCTGGTTGGAAACTCGAAACAGGAATTGATGGTCACACATTTCAAATACACCGATTGAGTTTTCCCATTTGCCTAAGCCCATCCTCAAACAACTGTCTGGTTTCGGATCTCCTCTCCATCAAAGTGTCTCACCAAGCATCTGCCCTGAATTTCTTTATCAGGAATTTCCTCTGCTCCATTGGCGTGATGTTGCTCCCTTCCCTTGAATCCTCAATGATTTTCCAGCACTAGCTGTCCACCTGTATCTCTTAGTTGCTTCAACAAAGGTTGAGTCCACCACTAGATGTTGTGATTCTGTTATAATGTGATCCCTTCTATAAATAAGACTTTTAATTTTGTATGCTGGCTCGTCCCATCCTGTATTGAATGCTGTTTATGGTAGTATAACAGTGGATCTTTTACTCCCCTGTTCTTTTCTACTATTAATATAAATCTGCCGAAGTCATTAAATTTCTTTGCACAAAAGTAGTTGGCTTGATGGTCCTTGAGCTTCCACCTTCTGACTTCTTTGCCTCTAACCTCTGATACCTTATGTAATAAATGGCATATCCATGTCATAACTTTCGAGCTGATCATCATTCTTCGTAGCAAGTTGTTCCTTGTTTCCATCTGGTCATACCATGTTTCCGAAAAAATAACATTTTTGGTGATATCTATGACTTATCTCCAACTATAAAATTAATCTTGTTGTCCATGTTTTTAGTCAATTACTGGATGAAATAGTATCTTATTCTCCGATCTTTACTAGTACCTGTTGCTATATATGATGTGTACTTCTTGATATTATGCTGGCGTTATTTTCCTTTCATTCCTACTTTGATTACTCTTCTTTTGAGCTGAGGGTTACCGGAAAGAGTCTCTCTACCCCACAAAGGTAGGGTTAAGGTTTATGTACATCCTACCCTCCCCAAACCCCACTTGTGGGATTATATTGGGCATGTTGTATTGGATGATGGAAGTAAACACAGTTACCAAGCTTACCGGCGATGTACGGGTACCCGGAACTAGAAGACTTTAACTAACCTTGGTTTAAGTGCCTGATAGCATTTCTTGTTGTTACTCTCTTAAAAAAAAAAATCTTAACCCAAGCTATTTCCTAAAATATTATTATTTCTTGATTTCAGGCTTCCTTCCAATTCTCTGAAATTATCCAAGATGTGACATTAGAGGACTTCAAATATGCATGTGCTTTAGGTAAAGTCTTTCAATGTAGATACATTTTTTTCTTAAAAGAATTTTCCAAGTACAAATTACTTGAATTAAGTTGTCTCCTACAGGCTTGCAAAGATGTGCACACAGTTTCAATATGATCTAGTTGGAGTTTCAAATGCTTCTCCTAAGATGGTCGCCATTTGATCCAGACCTGTTGTGCATTTTGTTATGATTGCAGTGTTTTTTTGCCGTTAAATATTCACAAATGACATAGTTGGTATTTTATATCTTTAAACTCTAGCTTCCCATATGATTAATAAGCGGCAAGAAGTAGACAGGATTAAAATTTCCATTTTTACTTAAGCAGTTTAGCTGAAGCTGCAAGAATCCTTGTGTTCCTTGCCTTTTTCTCTAGAATGATTTATTTTGTTGAAGAAATTCATCTAAACCACCTAAGATTAAAACATAAAGGAAGCTGGAAGCACACATCTATCTTCTCATGACGTGAGTTTCATATTAGTGATGTGGATTTGGTTAAAGGAAGTAGTTCTCATTGTTAATAAACCAGCTATTCCAGTCTATATGAACTAAATGCCTGAACACCGTCTTAACTTATGTGGAAACTGCCTACCCTTATTATCGGCTGTGCTCCAAAGAAGCAAAGCTAGCATGTTGGAAAGGTAGTCCTTTTCCTTTTCATGGAGCAGGTCTTGTGTTTCAACATTTCCTTTAGTATCATGGATTATGAACTTGGATGCCCACATTGATGAAAAACTCTTTGTCTGCATTTCAGTTACATCGCGAGCATGGGAAAGTTCCAGGGGGGTATCAATGGTATTTCTGTTAAGGGGATTTTATTTGTTTTCTTTAATTATTATATTGAGTAAGTTATCATTATCAAAATAATAATTGTATTGAGTTTATACCTTAAACCCCCCTTAAACTATCCACTTCTCATCAGTTTAATACTTAAATTATGGGGTGTTGCTGTTATCCCCTTGAATTATAACATCTTCTATCTGAAACTCCTTTCAGTATCAAGTGGCATGGATAGTGGTTTTACTCTCTTTGTAGTGTATAGGAGCTAGAAAATAGGCAAACAAGAGGATCCATGTGGTATTTTATATTATTTTTATATCTCTTATTTCTTATTTTTTCTTTTTGCTTTCTTCTTTTCTTATTCATTTTTTATTTCTTTAAATCATATCTTTTATAATAACGGAGAACTGATTGAAACACAACCTAAATATAATACTCCCTCCGTCCCATTTTATATGAGTTAGTTTGACTTGGCATGGAGTTTAAGAAAGAAAGAAAGACTTTTGAAATTTGTGATCTAAAATAAGTGATAGATGTTTATGTGATTATTAATCATTTCATTAAGGGTAAAATAGGCATTCTAAAGTTAAATTGTTACTTAATATAGAAATGTGTCATTCTTTTTGGGACTGACTAAAAAGGGAAGTGAGTCATATAAGCTGGGACAAAAGGAGTAGTAAAATAAAAATATAATAATCAGAAAAAATATCTAGTTAAAAATCACGACTGTATTTTACCATAACAGTAAACTCAATTGTTAAAGATAACTCTAAAATAACAGTAATACAAAAAATAACAAAAGAGATCTTACACTAAAGCGTAAAACAATTTTTTTTTTTCTTATTTGTTCTTCTTGGCTTATCTAAAATTTATTGGTTTTTTTTCCCTCTTCAAAATCCAATATTTTTTTTATTATAGTAAATTCAGTTGACAACTCATGTTTTAAAAATAACTGGAAAATAAAAAAGATAATCAATAACATAAACTTAATTGCAATTTAGAACAAAATTTACTTAATAATAATAAACTCACTTGAAAAGTTTGAATATTTAAACTACTTAAATAAATTTTGTCCGTGTTATGCTTTTTTAATGGAGTTGACCAAAATAAAGAAAAAAAAATTGACTGTAAAATTCCACGTAGATGCTCTTTTTGACCTATTCTCTAGTTCTCAGACACTACAAAGAGGAATCACTCTCCATGCCACTTGACACTGCATGTTTTTTTTTTTTGATAGGAAATGTTATAGTTTGGGATGGGGTAGAGGGGTGGGTGGTGGTGTAACAACACCCTAAAGTTTAAATATTATACTGACAAAATGTGGAAGGTGATTTTGAGGTATTAACTCTATTTTATTTTAGTTTGTTTTGTGGCTGTTTGATAATTGTTGGAAGGACATTCATTCGGCGAGCTCCTTTTATTTTGACTTCTAGAGAGGTTAAATCTTTTATGACTGTTTTAAGGATGACTACTTTTTGGGTGCCTGATAGTTTGTTCACTACATTGTAGATTCCTTTTGCTGATTTTGCAAATCACAGTGATCTCTCTGACACAACTGTTTTGTGTAGTGAAGAGAAGCAACTTTCAGAGGTATGTTCCACCAGCTTAACACATGGTTTTCCATCTATGCATCTGCCAGAAAAATTCTATTATTATCACCTGCTCTGCCTATGAAATAATAACACTTGCTTTGCATATTATTTCTCCCCCTCTGTGTATGTGTATGTGCTGCACATGATGACATGTGCTTTAAGTATATTCATGTTAGTCTAAGAGAACAATAGTTCTCATGTTGTTCATCCTCCTGACAGTGTTAGAGTTTGATCTACTTTAAAAATATTCACCGGATATGTTATGGTGTGAGATGGAGGAAATGGATCAAATTTTGCATCCAACGATAAGGTATTCGGTCCTTGTGATTGTGTCCAACTGTCCATGCAGCTTTTTTGGTAGTTCAAGAGGACTAAGACTAGGTGACCCATTGTTCCCTATGCTGTTCATTCTAGTGAAGGAAGCATTGAACAAGATGATAAATAAAATTATGGCAGGAGGTTACTTGAGGGGTTTCTCTATAGTTGTTGGTGGACAAAGTTTTGTTAGGGTGTTTCACTTTTTGTTTGTAGATGAGACTTATGTTTTTTGTGATGCAGATAGTGTTCAGTTGATCTTCTTGAGATAAGTATTGGCATGGTTCCAGGTGGTGTCAGGCCTAAAGATCAACCTTAGTAAATATGACATCTTCTAGTTGGTATGGTTGAAGGAGCCTTGACAGTCAACCACATGACTCAAAGCAAGGGTAATAATTCAAGGAAATATCACCACCTTGTCAGTGCTGTGGCAAAAAGGTCATCCTCCATTTAAATGTTGAAAGAGGCCAGATGCACAATGCAAGTTGTGCAACCAACTTGGTCATGATGTGACTTGCAAAAGCAAATCTCAGAAATATGAGCAGATGCCCAAGTCACCAATGAAGATTAAGAAGACCACTTATTTGTGGCAACATATTTTCAACCATGAATTCAGAATGTTGGATAATTGATAGTGGTTGTATAAACCACATGGCCTATGACAAAAATATTTTTAAAGAGTTCATGTCTATGGAAAATAAGAAAGTCAAAATTGGGAATGATGACTATGTTCCTGCAAAAGGAAAAAGGACTATTTCAATCAAAACAAGTTCAGACAAGTATTGTCGAATCTTTGATGCCACAAAATAGGAGATTTTACGAGTTAAAATGAGAAGTAAAAACTTCTTATTTAATCCAACAAGAGATGAACACAAGCCTTGCAAGACCAAAGATGAATTGACAGGCTACGAGGTCCATACCAGTCAAGACTACCATCTACATTTCCCGATCCAAGCAAGAGTGTTGAAGATATGTCTTGGGATATTTCGAAATAAAATAGATAGCTGGATTATCTCTAAAAGATTGCAGTAAATCTATCAGTAGCTAGTTTTTAGTATTTCTGATTATTTTGTTAAGTGAATATAAGAGTTAATTTTCTACTTTTTTGTGATTGGATTTAATCATTAGCATATTTTTCTATTTGTTAGTAGGAATTGTAGCTATAAATATATGTCTTTGAGTTATTTATAAAATAATTCTCTTTGATAACATTGTATTTTTTTTCTCTCAAAGCTTTTCTTTGCTATTTCCCTGATATCTTTGCTAAAAACCAATAATAAGTTATTCCGCCATATATATGAGATAACTTATCCCATCATTATAGTATATGTGAGAAATATATGAGAAAAATATTATTGAATTGTGTATCTAAATTGTTACATTGAGACCCTATTTATAGACACTACATTGGAATCCTTTTCCAACTAGGATTCCTATTCCTATTCTAAGTAGGAAATACTTATTTCTATTCTAACACTCTCCCTCAACTAGGTGCATACAAATCATATGTACCTAGCTTGTTACAGATGTAATTAATACGAGGACATGTGAGGGGACTTGGTGAAGATATCTGCAAGCTGATCATTTGACTTCACAAATTTCGTAACAATATCTCCCGAGAGCAGTGTTTTGGACGGCGAGAGGCGACAAAAGGCGACAAGGGGCCTGCCTCGCCACGAGGCGAGGCGAGCGGCGAGGCGCTCGCCTTTTTGAATTAAGGCGCCAATTAATACCAAAAATTAAAATTTTTAATTGCACATATAAATATCCAAAATCTTAATAGCAATAACATATATTAGCAAATATTTGAATTTAAAAAACTAATAGTGAACAAAGCACTGAGAGAGTGAACAACCCTGTTCACTACCACACTGAAAACAGAGCACAGTAGTGAGTGAAAAACAGAGTAGTGAAGAAAAGAAGAAAAGAAGAGAAGAATTAGAAGAGAAGAAGAAGAAGAAGAAGAAGAAGAAGAGAAGAACTGAAGAAGAAGAAACGTACCTGGCAGCAGTCACGAAGCGGCGAAGGAGCAGTAGTCGCGAAGTCAGTTGAAGAAGAAGGTCGCGAAGTCGGTGTTTGCAAAAAGGAGGCAAACACGAAGGGTTCGCGACTAAGGAGAAGAGGAATCAATCGCAAATGTGGAATGTTTGCAAAAATACCCAAAAAAAACCCTAATTTTGGCTTTTAATTATAAATCAGACCTTTAAAAAAAAAAAAAAAAAAGGCGACGCCATCCTTGTCACAAAAGGTCGCCAAAGGGCGCCATAAGGTCGCCATTTTCAACTCGCCTCGCCTTGAGGCAAATAGGCGAAAGTGCCTCGCCTCGCCTCGCCTTATCGCCAAAGGCGAAAGGCAAGCGCCTTTCACAACACTGCCCGAGAGTATCTTTTCTCTGACAAAGTGACAGTCAATCTCAATGTGCTTAGTCCTTTCATGAAACACTAGATTTGATGCGATATGAAGTGCCGCTTGATTATCACACACAAGTTCCATCTGATCAATTTTGCCAAATTTTAGTTCTCCCAATAACTGTTTGATCCAAACTAGCTCACAAGTTGCTGTCGCCATTGCTCGATATTCTGATTCTGCACTAGATCAAGCAACCACATTTTTGTTTCTTACTCTTCCACGACACCAAATTACCTCCTACTAAAACACAATATCCGAATGTCGAACGTCTGTCAAAGGGTGATCCTGCCCAATCAGCGTCTGTATATCCAATGATATGCTCATGGCCTTGATCCTCAAAGAGTAGTCCTTTATCGGGAGTTGACTTTATATATCGCAGAATACGAACAACTGCTATCACAAGGGGAAGTCATAAACTGACTTACAACACTCACAGGAAAAGAGATGTCAGGTCTAGTCACTGTGAGATAATTCAACTTTCCAACAAGCCGTTTATACCTTTCAGGATTACTAAGTGGCTCCCCCTGTCTTGGAAGGAGTTTAACATTCGGATCCATAGGAGTGTCAATAGGTCTACATCCCATCATTCCTGTCTCCTCAAGAATGTCTAAGGCATACTTGCGTTGAGAAATAACAATACCTGATCTAGACTGAGGAACCTCAATACCTAGAAAATACTTCAATCTGCCAAGGTCTTTAGTCTGGATGTGCTTAAGGAGATGTTGCTTCAAATCAGTGATACCATCTTGATCATTACCGGTGATAACAATATCATCAACGTAAACAACCAAATAGATACATCGACTTGGTGCAGAATATCAATAAAACACAGAGTGATCAGCTCCACTTCGAGTCATGCCAAACTCCTGAATTTCTGTGCTGAACTTCCCAAACCAAGCTCGAGGAGACTGTTTCAGACCATAGAGTGACCTATGCAATCGACATACAAGGCTACTAGACTCCCCTTGAGCAACAAAACCAGGTGGTTGCTCCATATAGACTTCTTCCTCAAGATCACCATGCAGAAAAGCATTCTTACTGTCCAACTGCTAAAGAGGCACGGCAGTCATAGATAGAAAAAGACGAGCAAATGCTATTTTAGCAACAGGAGCGAAAGTGTCACTATAATCTAGCCCAAATATCTGAGTATACCCTTTGGCAACAAGGCAAGCCTTAAGTCTATCAACCTGACCGTCTGGACCAATTTTGACTGCATAAACCCAACGACAACCAGCAGTAAATTTACCTGCAGGAAGGGAGACAAACTCCCAAGTACCACTCTTATGTAAAGCAGACATCTCATCAACCATAGCCTGCCTCCATCCAGAATGAGAAAGTGCTTCACCTGTAGTCTTAGGAATGGAAATAGAGGACAAAGACGACACAAAGGCATAATGGGGTGATGATAGACAATGATAACTTAAGAAGGTATAATGTGGGTTAGTATTTTGAGTGGATCGTATACCTTTCTGAAGTGCAAGCGGTTGGCTAGGAGGAGGTAAGTCCGCAGTAGGAGCAGGGTTCGACGCATGACATGAATCATCTGGGACTAGGGTTGGACGTGGACGACGATGATAAGTTAGTAGTGGTAGCACTACAACTGGAGATGTAGAAGTAACCGTAGATTCCTCAAAGGTTGGCATAGGTAAAACATGAGGTATGGGTAAGACCATAAATACATCAGGATGATCAGAAGATGTATAGTAAGGCTGAGACTCAAAAAATGTAACATCAGCGGACATAAGGTATCGATGAAGATCATGTGAATAACAACGATACCCTTTTTGGACTCGAGAGTAACCAAGAAAGACATATTTGAGGGCACGAGGAGCTAATTTATCTTTTCGTGGGGCTAAGTTATGAACAAAACATGTGCTCCCAAAGACACGAGGGGGGATAGGATAGAGATGTGACTGAGGAAACAGTATGGAATGTGGAACCTGATTCTGAATAGAAGAAGAGGGCATTCTATTTATCAAATAACAAGACATAAGAACTGCATCTCCCTAAAAACGCAGCGGAACATTGGATTCAAGGAGAAGAGTACGAGCGGTCTCAATAAGATGCCGATTTTTTCTTTCAGCTACACCGTTTTGTTGAGGGGTGTATGGACAAGTAGTCTGGTGAATAATGCCTTGGTGAGTCATAAACTCCTGAAATTGGGAGGATAAGTATTCTAAGGCATTGTCACTACGAAAAGTACGAATAGAAACACCAAACTGATTTTGTATTTCAGCAAAGAAACTTTTGAATATAGAAAATAACTCAGAACGATCTTTCATTAAGAAAACCCAAGTACATTTTGAATAATCATCAATGAAACTAACAAAATAACGAAATCCTAAGGTGGAACTGACTCTACTAGGACCCCAAATATCAGAATGAACTAATGAAAAAATAGACTCTGAACGACCCTCAGTACTACGAGAAAACGTAGCACGAGTGTGTTTCCCAAGTTGACACGACTCACAATCTAATGTGGATAAACTAGACAAACTAGGCACCATCTTTTGCAGTTTGGATAGACTTGGATGTCCCAAACGTTTGTGAATTAGATCTGAGGAATCTGTAACGGAGCATGCTGCTAAGGAATTTGAAGAGGTAAGATAGTAAAGGCCTTGTGATTCATGTCCTGTTCCAATCATCTGTCCCGTACTGCGGTCCTGCATGAGAAAAAAAATCATCAAAAAAGGTTATGCCACAATGTAGGGCACGTGTCAAACGACTAACAGATGCCAGATTAAAAGGGGAACCAGGGACATAAAGAACAGAGTCTAGGGTGACAGAAGATAGGGGTTTGGCTTTTCCAACCCCTTTTGGTTTTGTTTGGATCCCGTTGGCTAAAGTAATAGCTGAAAGAGATTGTGAATAAACAATATCGGATAAAAATGATTTATTACCAGAGATATGATCAGAATCCCCAAAGTCCATGACCCATGTTCCAAGAGTACTAGATTGCGACACACAAGCAAAAGAATTACCTCCAACAGACACATCAGGTTGTGCAACCAAAACTACTTGTGAAGACGTTTGCTTATTTGCACGTTACTAAAGGAACTCGTCATATTCTGAGCAATATGAGCATTATTGGATGGTTGATTAGGTTGAGCACCATATGCTACTGGTGAAGATGTTTGTTTACTTGCGCGATTTCGAAGGAACTCATTATATTCCTTTCGAACAATAGGATCATAACTGGGTGGTGAACCATGCAAAATATAACATATGTCACGAGTGTGTCCAGGCTTATGACAATGACTACACTTGGATCGAGGTTTCCCAAAACGCCCTCCCCCTCGCTGATTCTCCATAGACTGATATGTACGCTGTTCAAAGGTTTGAGATGCGAGAATAGAGGAGTCAACAGTGGGTGATGAAACTACTTTGTGATTGGGAGGTGCCGCAAGACGAAGGAGATGAGAGAATAATTCATTGATGGTAGGAATTATAGGGCTAGCTAAAATCTGATCACGCATAGAATCATGATCAGGAGGAAGTCCAACAAGAGTAGGAACTAGAAACAATGTTTTTTTGTATTCTTGTTGTTTTTCCACATTCGTAGTAACTGCATCAACGTGTCAAATTCCTCCATGACTGCCTGTACCTGTCCCAAGTAAGTAGACATATCGGATTCTTGTTTCTTTAAGTTGGTCAATCGAGATATCACATCATAGAATCGAGATATGTCATTAGTGTATAAAGCACGAACCTTTTCCCAAACCGTATAACACGTCTGGAATGGGCAAAACAAGGGCATCAATTTGGAATCAATAGAATGCCATAGGAGACTACATAATTGAGCATCTACTTTCTCCCATTGTGCTTTGGCTTTGGCTTTTACATCTTCCTCACTAGTCTTTGCCTTTACATCTACCACATAAGTCTTGTTCGTTAAGTGATCTTGGACACCTTGATCCTTGCACCACAGCTCAATCGAGGAAGCCCAAGTTAAATAGTTTGAACTTCCCAATAAAAGTTCTGAAGTAATTATAGGACTAGAACTTCCAATCCCCATATTTTTAGAACCAAAAACATCACACCCAAAAGACATTATGCTAAATTTGTCTTGGAAACAACAAAAAGAAACTTGATTATTGAGATTTGATTGTCGGAAAATTCAAATCTCGAAGAAAAAAGTCACCGAAAACAGCCTGGAAATAGCCGGAACCCTAATTCCGGCGATCGGATCTGGTAAAAAACAGTATGGGCCTGGTCGGAATGGCTGGACGACCCCAACTGTCAAAAAAATTCTCAAAAAATATGATCAGAAACTCCCTCACACGCCGGCGCGTGAGCCAGATCTCGCCGGAAACTACCACCTCCGATAGGCGCGTGAGAGCGCGTGGGGTGTTGTTTTTCGGTGTATCTGGCTGGGGTTTGGTCGCGGGAGTTTTTCGAGCCTCGTGGTGGTGTTGTTTTTCGCACCACACCCACAGAAAGAAAAAAGAATAACAAAATCAGACCCAACAGTCACCGGAAATTGACATAGACATACGGTGACTTGTTTGTTCTCACCAATACTCTGATACCACGTGAGAAATATATGAGAAAATTATTATTGAATTGTGTATCTAAATTGTTACATTGAGACCCTATTTATAGACACTACATTGGAATCCTTTTCCAACTAGGATTCCTATTCTTATTCCTATTCCTATTCTAAGTAGGAAATACTTATTTCTATTCTAACAGTATAAATGGAGGATAAATAATCTCGAAACTAAATAATACCCCTAACCAAACATAGGATACAATAATTGTACATTTTATCCCTGGATAATTATTCTTTATCCCTCGTACCAAGCGGCCCCTTTAGAATACTAAAGAGAAGAAACAGGGCATAAGATGTTGCTTCTCTAGCACTTATGTGGATCATATGGAGAGAAAGAAATAGGAGAGCTTTTGATGGAGTTAGAGAAGGATTTGTACTATTGAGGAAACGCGGTTTATCTCTTATTTCTTTTTGGAGCACCCACTAGGTTCCCTATAGGTATAGAAAACTGGGTCTTTCATGGGAAACCATTTTTTTGTTAGGTTTTCTACCTTTAGTATACTTGCTGTATATAGGCTTGTTTCTTTCCCTTTTTAATAATGTTATTACTTGATTAAAAAATGTTACTTTTGCCATTTTATGGAGTATATCTTCTGCTCAGGTTTCTCTTTTATGTTTGACCCGCCCTATTTTAAGCATTTGCAGGTCATTGCTGATTATAGTTACGCTCCTGGTGATCAGGTCTCATCACTCATGCAACTTGAATGTATTCTTGGGTCCATATGATACTATTCTTTCTCCATCTCTATCTAAGTATCATTTGCAACTTTTTGCCTTTCTGGTCATTAACTTAAATTTTTGTGCTAGCTTTTGATCTCAAGCCTTCACTTTGAATATTTAATTGTCAAATGACTCTTTCTTTTACTTTGTGTAAAGTGAAATGTGGAACTAGTCAAATTTCTGCTATTCTATCCCTCTAAAATGCTATTCTACCCCTCCAAATCTGCTATTCTATCACAACTTTATTCTCTTTGATTTACTACAACAAATATCTAATATTACACTTATATACATCACTATATAGTTACATTAATATATACAATTATTCACTATTAAATTCATGATCTGTGAGCTGTCCATCATGCTAACATCCCCCAAATCAGAAGTGTATCAAATTCAAGTGGCTTATTGGGGAAACTACTTTTACATATGATATGTTGGTGCTACCCTTGGGGTCCTGTGATGTTGTTCTGGTAATGCAATGGTTGAAACCGTTGGTGATATCATTATGAATTTCAGCAAGCTGACCATGCAGTTCAAGTATGAGGGGTAAAGATCACATGTTGAAGAATGAGACCACTAAGTTAAAAACAGTGGATGCAAGATCTTGGAGACTGTTAGTTACAGTGGATGCCAGTCCTAGCCCTTATGCTAGTCCTGTTGTATAGTGTTGGTTAGTAAGAAGGATGGCTCTTGGAGTCTGTTAATTACAGGGCTCTAAATAAGTTAACCATTAAAGACAAATTCCCTATACCTGTGTCACGACCCGAAAATGAGCCATGATGGCGTCCACTACAACCCACTGAGTGGACAAGCCTAAACCCAACACAAGATGTGGAAGAAACAGTTTTAAGTAATAACAATAGTAGCAATAGGTGTCTCTCCTTCTCATCTTGATTCAAGTAGCAATAGGTGTCTCTCCTGACAATTCTTTGTCCCTAACAAACTTTTTACCCTTTTCTACCAAATAGAAGCACTACCTTTCATAACTTTAGTCACAATCATCCTCTAATTCATCAAAAGGATTTTTTTTGTTGCACATTAGGAGCTCTAGTAGCTATAATAACATTCATCTCAAATTGTGTAGTCCACCTTTGAAATTGTTGAAACATAGCACTCAAGGTGAAATCATTTCCTCCATTCAATTCTGCTTCTAAACGAGCCCTTCTTTCATCATCACTACCACCTGCCTGAGACATCTTAAAAAAAAGATTAGAGCAAATATTTATCACTCGAAAATTTGACTTTTACCCTCTAATATTATCACCTATCTTGCCTTCTTTAAAATTTTGGCAAATGTGGCTCTCCAACTCCAAATATTCTATTCTGCAATGCAACCTAAACCATCACCAAGCTAGTTCCAAGAAGTTCAATTTGGTCTTTGTCTCTTCTCTTGAAATTTATGAAGAAAATTTCTTCTCAATCATGGCTTTGGTGTCATCATCTCTCATTGTGTGAAGATCCAGTTGAGGCATCTATTAGTGGATAGATGAAAGAGTGGGAATCCTCTGATGTTCTGCAGTGAAAGTGTATGTAATTTTTGTTGAAATGAGAAAGGTGGAACGAAGAAAAGGAGAGTGGGACCTGTGTATTGTTTGGAAAATGGAGGAGGTCGAATGATGGAGGAACGTGATGACTCTTTGGGTTGGGTTAATGGTCAATAATGTGCTGGATCAGCTTAATTTAACAAGTTCACCGCTTAAGATGCTGTATGTCATATCAGTCCTTTTGTCTAGTAGACAGTTTGAGCATGGATTAGGTGTTTAACCGGTCAGGAACTTTGTTTAGGTATCTAAATGAAAAATTCTGACTAGTTCAAGCAGTTGTCTATGTAGTGGGAGATTAAGTTGAATATTGAGCCATGAAAACTGCGACTTGCGAGTTCATATGGATCAGTTGACTACTGAAGAGGGTTTAAGTTTAGAGAAACCACTTAGATGGAACTTGTTTATGTAATCAAATTACTCCATATTGCTTCAGATCCAGTGTACTCTGAGAGGATTGTAAAGATATGACACTTGGGCCTAACCCAGCCCCAAAAGCTAGCTCATGAGGGGAGGTTTGTCCAAGTCCATATAAAGAGACCAAATTCCCATCTCTCTATCGATGTGGGACATCTCAACACTCCGTCGCACGTCCAAACCTCTACTGGAGCGTGAACAGTTCTAAATGGGGGCCCATCATTTGGGAACAACAAATTGGGATAGGCCTGGCTCTGATACCATGTAATGATATGACACTTGGGCCTAACTCAACCCCAAAAGCTAGCTCATGAAGGAAGGTTTGTCCAAGTCCATATAAGGAGATCAAATTCCCATCCCTCTACCGATGTGGGACATCTCAACAAGGATCAAACGCATAGAGGTTGATTGTCACTTTATTAGAGAAAATACTCTCAGAAAATATTGTCACGAGAATTCAAGAACTATAATGTCGAATGATTAGCTTGCAAACGTATTTGCCGGATCTTGCAAGCCCTTGAGTTAATTAAATATGTAATAAATTCGGCATATGCAATGTGTAGTCATCTACTTGAGGGGTAATCTTAGATAGGCTAGTATATTATTGTACAAAGTAGTGTCCTAGATAGGACAAGCTTGAAGTATTCATTGTGAAGTGTGCAGATAAAATGATAAAAGCATGAAACATTGAAGTCACACATTCTCATAGTTAACCTCACCTTTGCATAATCCATCAGATTGTACTCGGAAGCATGATGTTTCAAAAGGAATTTTAGACAAATATTAGAAAGATTTCAAATTATCAAAGATGAAAGGGTACTTATTAACCACGTCCACAAGCATAGATGTTCAATCACGACATATCCATTTGATTGAATTGCTACAAATTATTGCCGGTGATAACTGTGGTGTAGCATACATATATTTGTGAAATAAGGATTCTTACTGAATATTAGTTACAATTTTCCTACAGATGCTCATAAGATACGGAAAGTTTTCAAATGCAAGACTCCTTTTGGACTTTGGATTTACTCTCCCTTGTAATGTGTATGACCAGGTAAGATGACAAACTTTCACGGTATGTTTTGCATTATCTTTCAGAATGGATGAACCAAATTGAATTATCACTAAGCTCATGCACCCTTTGCATATGCAATTCCATTTTATTGATTTATGTACATTCCCTCATTTCAATTCCATCCGAAAAGTTGGTAGATACTGCTTGTTAGGAGTACTTTCAAGCTTGACCACATTCTTTATTCCAAACCTCATTACTTTGACATTTCGCGGGTAAACTGCTAACAGCTTCCCTTTGCTGACGTTGTTAGAGGTACTGATTCAACTGTGACTCTACATCTATTAATTGCCTCAATAGGACACTCATGCATACACATGTTTTGCTGGGTGGTTTATTTTTTGTTCTTTAGAAAATCTAGAAGCAAACTACATAGATTTGCATCTTCCCTAAAGATATTCAACTGCAAGTCTTTGAGGGATTTTCCTAAGAGATAGTTACGTGTCACGACCCGATCTCGCAAGTTATGATGACACCTACTATACCCACCAGTAAGTAAGCCAACTCGTAACCCGGAACGTCAATTAATGTCTGTAAGGGTAGAAACTAAGCAAGAATAAACAATTTAATAGAGATAACAGGAGAAGGCGGAAGCAACATAAATACATAACAAAAAGATCCCTCCCAAAACCTGGAAGTCACAAGTACAGAGCTACTACAGAAAAGAGTACAAGTCCCAAAGGTGGACCACAAATAAACAAACTTGTCTCAAAATACAATAGACTAGTCAAATGGTACTGAAGGAGACATGTATGATCCAAGACGCCATAAGCTCACCCTTGCCTCTAGATACTGCAGCAATCGGCTCAAACTCAATGCTGATAGTTGGTGCTTTGCATCACGAAACAGATGCAGAGTGTAACATGAGTGCCAAAACACCAGGCACTAAGTAGGCATCATTGGCCGCCTGAGCAAGAAAAGTAAAGGCAATATGAAAGGCGAGAATTAAACATAATAGAGGTCAAGAGTGAAAATCTAACAAAAGCACACGTGTGTAGGACAAACTGAAATAAAGTATGTAAATAGCTAGCTAAAACCTAACTGGACCCCATAAGCCCAAAAGGTACACTCGTGCGCAAGTTTAAATAAAAACCCGAATGGACCCTCATAAGCCTGATAGGTACATAAAAGAACTACAACTACTGTTAATAGGACCCGGTGAATCCAGAGCCAGAGAGTGCGTAGCGCGGACGCGGATTGGCCTCCCAAAGTAACTAATAGATCCAAGCTAATAAATATCAACTCCGTAGAGGATAATGAGCCCAAATCATGGATTGCGACTGGAAGATGAATTGCACAGACCGCAAATTTGAGACTAACAATAGCTCATCATAACCAGACCTTTGAATTTGCGACCAACAATAGAGTAGCATGACTAGACCATGAATCTACGATCAATAATGCTGCATGACCAGACCTTGAATCTGTGATCAAATGGGCTTTCGAAGAATCCCATGCCAATTCGTCATCATAGAACCATCGTGGAACGACGTCCACTCCCAGGTAACCAATACAACACTTTAACCTAGTGGGCCTTCGCGAATGTGGCTAAGGCCTCGCAAACACAAAGACCAGGTCATGCGAATGCGGCTTGAAGCCCGCGAATGCTAAGGGCAAATATTGCCTGCACCTGCTAATGCACATCAACTGGTTTTGGCCAATGCGAAAATTCCTGATGGGGTGCTTAGGATTCATTCGAAACCCCGTGCGCGCAAATGAGATATGCTACCCCATCAAATTTGATATTCCAGACTCAACGGAGCTGTCAAAACTTTCAACTGAGGTTGTCTCGACAAAAAGTGAGTCCCCCACCCAACCTTCATTTTAAGCCAAATTCCACGAAGGGGCTCGGGATTAGCTCGGAAGCCTTGGGATCCGTACAAAAGGTCCTTCTAGACCAGACTCAACATTTCAGCGCTAATAAAACTGGCAGTGTTGCATTTTGAGGCCGTCTTTCTAAAGTTTTGACCAAAGTCAACCATTCAAGTTTCAGAAGCTTTGAAGCACGGAAACTTACATAGAATCCAAACGAGCGACCAGGTGATCGAATTGTCAATCCTAGCACTTGTGAATATTAAGGCTGCACAAATACACTACACCCAAAGACTCAAATGTAGATCAGTGGTTAATCTAGAAGTAGGAAAGTATGTCTTGAACATACTGAAAGAGGTTTTAAAACCTAGAACACGGGAAGCCATCCTATTAATAAGATAGGTGGATGTCAAAAGAGCTTCTCCTCAAAGAAATTTAGGGACTCCAATTGTGAATATTAAGGCTCTAGTTACCTCCATAAGATGCATATATTTTCTCTTAGCTACTCCATTTTGTTGGAGTGTATTAGGACATGAACTTTGGTGCATTATTCCCTTGGAAGTGAAAAAATTGCCTAAATGGTCATTAAAATACTCTCCCATTATCACTCTGAAATATTTCAATCTTCTCATGAAATTATATCTCGGACCTAACTTAAAAAGCCTCAAACATATGTTTTACTTCACTTTTGTCTTTTAATAGGTACCAAGTTAGTCTAGTGTGATCATTTATGAAACTCACAAATCACCTTTTCCCATTTACAGTTGTTACCTTAGAAGGTCCCCAAACATTGCGATGGATTAACTTAAAGTGTTTTGTGGCATGGTATTTTTGGGAAGAAAAGGATGAACGTCTGTGTTTTGCCATTTCACAAAATTCATACTGGAAAGAAGATGTACTTTTATTCATAAACAACTAAGGTAACAAGAGTTTCAAATATGAAAACTAGGATGACCAAGTCTATAGTGCCATAACATGACTTTATTATCAACTTGAACAAAGTTAAAACAAGCTGAACTAAAATTTTGCTGAGTTGTCCCCGTTTTCAAGAAAATAGAGACCTTCAGACTCTCTAGCATAGCCAATCATCTTCCCCGAGACCTTGTCCTGAAATACGCATGAAATAGAATCAAAGATAGCACCACGATTAAGGTTTTAAGTCAATTTGATGATGGACAAAAGATTATGAGATAATTTTGGAACATGAAGGACACAAAAAAGTGTCAAGAGAGGGGTTAGTTTGATCGTCCCTTTTCCAGCAATTGCTGAGAAGGAACATCAACAACTTTGACTTGTTTATTTCCTTCTATAAAGGAGTGTAGGTTGAGAAAAAATGGAAATTCCATGTCATGTGATCATTAGCCCCCGAATCTATGATTCAAGGACTTATCTGTACTCACAAAAATGGATGGTACATTACCTGCTTGGGAATAAGAACAAGTGGGAGTAGAAGGATCAGATTTATTGGTTTGGAGTTGAGGTTGGAGAAATTTTTGCAGTAGCTCTACTTGTTCCTTAGTGAAAGGTCGCATTTCTAGAGAAGATTGTAGCCCTGATGCTGAAATGCCCGACCATGGTTGTCTGCCATTTTTTTTGTTCCAGCTAGGTGGTCTCCTATCCTATGGATATTCCAGCAAGTCTTACGAGTGTGCCCATATTTTTTGCAAAAATTACACCACGGCTTCATTGTTGTCTCGGTCAAAATTTTGTTAATAGAACTCTCGACTTCTATTGATGTTGCTGGGTGACGTAGCCCGGTCAATGTTGTTTTAGTTACAAGAATAACCTTGCTCTGATACCATGAAAGTTTTGGTACCAAAATTGTACAATTTTATTCATCCATAGAGATACAAATTTATTGTATAGAAAAATAAACTAGCTAGCAATCAGATCCCTTGATTCTAGGAAATTTGAGAATCAAGGGATGATTCTAATATCCTAACCTATTCAATAGCATATCAGATATGATTTTGTTCGATCAATTTAAATCCTACAAAATCATATCCAATCACACTTAGGTATTTACAAATCAACAAACCCTTTGGGGTGGGCCAGTGGACCCTTCGGGGTGGCCCAGTGGTTTGAGCTTGGGACTTCCATGTTGGAGGTCTCAAGTTCGAAACCCCTTGCCAGCGAAAGCAAGGGGTTTGCCTTATGGGTCGAGCTCGTCGCACCAGGCTTGCCTAGTGCGGATTACCTATTCTATGTGGTTTGCGAGCTATTGCATAGGAGCGGAGTTTTTACCCAGTGCGCACCCAAAGGGTAGCGGCTGCGGGTTTCCCTTGTCATAAAAAAAAATCAACAACAACTATCCTGATACTGTATGTTGATTATATCATACTTACGGGAGATGACTTGCCAGAAATGAAGAATTTAAAGAAACAGGTGGCCTCAGAATTCGAGATCAAAGATTTGGATCAATTGAAATATTTTCTTGCCATGGAAGTAGCAAGATCAAAAGAAGGCATTATGGTGTCACAAAGGAAATATGTACTAGATCTTCTAAAAGAGACAGGCATGAGTGGTTGTCGTCCATCTGAATCACTTATTGATCCGAATATAAAATTCGGAAACAAAGATGGAAATTTAGTTGACCAACGTCAATATACTTATCACACACTCGACCTGATATAGCTTTTGTTGTAAGCTTAGTCAGTCAATTTATGCACTCTCCGAAGAAAGAGCACCAAGAAGCGGTCTACAGAATTCAAAGATATCTGAAAAGCTCACCAGGGAAAAGACTGTTTTTCATAAAAGGTCAAGATAAAGGCGTTGAAAGCTTTAAAGATGCAGACTAGGCAGGTTCTACTATTGATAGGAGGTCTACATCAGGATATTGTACTTATATCTGGGAAATCTCGTGACTTGGAGGAGTAAAAAGCAGAATGTTGTAGCCCGTAGCAGTCCTGAAGCTGAATATCGATCTATGGCCCATGGGATCTGTGACATGACTTGGCTCAAGAAGATGATGGAAGAACTAAAGAAACTGTTTGTGTTACCAATGAAGTTATACTATGACAACAAAGCCGCCATAAGTATTGCTCACAATCCAGTTCAACATGACAGAACAAAGCATGTTGAAGTGGATAGGCACTTCATAAAAGAGAAGATTGAAAAAGAAAACGTGTGCATACCTTTTGTCCCAACAAATCAGCAAATTGCGGATATTTTCACAAAAGGCTTGTTTAAACCAAAGTTTGAAATTCTTGTAAGCAAGTTAGGCATGAAAGATATTTACATGTCGACTTGAGGGGGAGTGTTGATTTGTAAATATCTAAGTGTGATTAGATATAATTTTGTTTAAATTGATCTAACAGAATCGTATCTAATATGTTATTGAATAGGTTAGGATATTAGAATCATCCCTTGATTTCTCAAATCTCCTAGAATTAAGGAATCTGATTGCTAACTAGTTTATTTTTCTATACTATAAATTTGTATGAATAAAATTGTACAATTTTGGTACCAAAATTTACAGCTACAATTGTACAATAAGTGTGGTGTGCTTCACAACCATAGGAAAGACTTATACTAGACACGTCTTCTAATGTGAATCTGATCTCCTGTCTGTGTACCAGAACCTGCCTTTTGAAATGCAAAGCCCCAAAGTCAAGGACGTAAGTACATATGAAATTGTATTGTATGTAAGGGCAGAATGAAACATAACTGAAAGAGAAACAGGACAACCAATGGAGACATAATCAAAACATGGAACAATCAAGCGATCGAAAATAATTAAGTTGACCTTAACGTTCGTACTTCGTAGTTCATCATTCATCAGTTTATTATGAGAGTTTATTAGTATAATCGACATAATCCACCATGGGAGCACATGGAGTCTGATCTTGGCCCGATTAGCTAGGCCTTTCCATACCTTGTTGGGTGTGAAACATACATAACATAGTTTTGCTAGCAAAAGATCGATAATATGCCTTGTTGGGCAACCTAGAAGATACGCCCAACTCTACGGTGCGATCCAAATCTTATGTCGGCAAACGTAGTTTCGGGCACGTGTCGTATAGACTAATGCCTTCTCGGTTAACCATATTACTCCCTTCATTTGATGTTCATAATTCAGCCCGAAGTCTCATAATCGTAACTCATGCTTTGTTTTAAGAGCTCATAATCATGGTTGCAAAAATCATAAGTATTCATATGTCATAATTCATGAAACAAAAATCATGGAAAAATCAAGTCATTATAGCATAATGTTTATATTTGACAAAAAGGGCATAATCGTAATTTAGTAGAACATGCATGGGATTAAACTTGAGAAAATTTATAGGATTCATGGTGTTCGTAGTGAGTCTTCATGGACAAAGAACATCAAAATCATACCTACCCCCTAGTCATCTCATGGAGGAGAAACTTTCGGGTTTTTCAATAAAACAAGTTGACGCAGGGAAGATCAATAACGTTCCCACCCGAAGGGATAGTCTTACATGCCTTTAATCGTAACTAATCACAGATAAATATCCAATATAAGAATGTTCAAAACCCTAGGCGTGACCTTGTTGAGTCCTTGAAGATCCTTTGATCATGGATTAGAATTACGTTATAGATTCAATTACGGTAATAGAATTTCTTAGAATTGAATTGATCAGCGTAGGAAGCTACAGATTACAAATTTATTTCTCTACCTTTGATACTGTATAATTAGGGAGAATGGGTATAATATGATTGAGCAGTGTCAGAATTCTATCGAACTTCGTTAGGTTTTGACATAAACTACATTGATTACAAATTAGGTAAGCTACAGATTCTAGGCTAGATTACATGTCCTAGCACCTAATACTCACATGCTAGGCACAGTCACAATAGCTAAATCAATGCAAAGTAGGGAAATAATCTCAACACTCCCAAATTATCCTCCGAAATTATGTTCATATTTGGTTACATTTCACATAAAAGGCATCACTTTCTCTCAGGTTGAAGTTGAGCTTACTATACCTCATGAAGACAAACTACGTCAGTTGAAGTTGGAGCTTTTGAGCAAACATCAGATACCAATTCTTAAAGATGTCAATGGATTCAGTTCCTCTGAGAATTCGTTTGCACTCAAGTTTGTATCTCCTTACCAAGTTTAATTTTTGATAATATAGATATTTGTATGTATCAGCAAACAATATTACAGATATAGTTGGTTTACTAGCTGATGGCTGCTGTTAAGATATGATAATGCTGTTAAGTTCTTTTTCATAACCACTCTCACCCCCTCTCCCTCTTCAGGGAAGTTAGGTCTGCTGACGCTCAAGGTAGGGGAATTCCACAGTCAATTCGTGCATTTGCTCGTGTTCTGTGCTCCAATTCTCCACAAGGTCCTAGGGTCATCTTTTTTTCCGTGCATTTGTTCAGCTATTTGTACAGTCAATATTTCCTATTTCACATTATACTAACCTTGTTTAAACTGTAACATGTAGAGATAAATGATTTGGCCATGGAAGATGCAGAAAATGATGGTCGGGTGGCTCGGCGTCCACTAAAGGACAAGAGCAGAGAGATTTTAGCACATCAGTTTTTGCTCTCAAAAATCACTGGGCTAATAGATGAGTATAATGTATCTATTAAGGTAAGAATAAATAGTTTATTCATATGTTTTAGAAAGATTCATATAGATTCAGCACGGAACCACAAATAAGAATTTGTTAGGTGCCAGTGATCTGGATAGTACTTTTGCTGACAGGCCATACCGAGAGAGAAGTGGATATTTCAAACACCAGAGTTGCAAGTTACTTTGCAGGCACTGCTGATGAAAATCATGAAATGCAAAAAACTTGTATTATATTATTTAATGCTAAACCAGCACAAAATGATGCAGAAGACTAAGTTGAGTTCTCTATGCAAGATGCATTTCTACTTGGCCGCTAAAGGGGGGCAGCAGCCCTTAGATGGATCTCCTGCCACCCATGCAGGAAGGGTTGCGCTAACAATAAGTTTCAACCCCCCTTTGTATGGGATTGACATATGCTTACAACTACTATGCAGTAGTGAGGGAAAATGCCATAATGGCTTCATGACTCTAGCTTTTAGCGAAGGAAATATGACTTTTTCTTCTTTTAAGGTGTCTCCTGCTACTTCCACTTTTTTTTTCCAGTAAAATTGCAGCCTTCAAGAGTAGTAAGAAGTAGGGTGGGCATTCAGTTCTTCGTGTTGGTTCGGTTATTCAATAGTGAATATGTTTGGGTCGGTCTTTTCTAATTTGGTTCTTAGGTATGGGCCTTATTAATGCGCTACTTTTCTTCTTGTTAAATGGCTATTTTTTTAAGGGATTCTTACATGGATACCGCACAACAAAATTTCAGCTAATGGCCGCCTGTATATGTAATGTATCTATCTTATATAAATAGTGTATAGCCGTATATATATGATGTATAACTGTGTATAAGAGATGTATATGCATACTTATACATTGTTATACAATATTTATACATTGTTATATAATGTATCTATATGTATAAATAGTGTATAAGCATGTATATATGATGTATAAATCTAAGTTTCTCTGACACTTCACTTTTGATGTTGCACCCGTGTCGACACGACATGGGTGTGGGATCCGTGTCCGATTTGGTCAACCAATTTTGGGCACTTTGACCAAAATCAATGGGGAAAGTTTGAACAGTTTTAATGATTTATGTAATCAATACAAAAGCTAAGGTGAAATTGAAGAAAATGGAATACCTTTTATATTGAAATTTCTATGTCACTCCTTTTCCTTTAATCTCCTTCCTGGATTCTCCTCAAGTTCTCCACATAATATCTCATAATTTAGGTTTTATAACTTTATTTTTAGATGCTTTAATTATTTTGAGGCGAATCCCCGCACCAGTATCCATACATGGATCCATATCCCCGCATCTTAAAAATTAGATCATGAAGGATCCAACTTTTAGATCCACACCCATATGAGACAGCCGCACTCGAGTCCGAGCAACTTATGTATAAACAATGTATTCACACTATTATACACAAAATCAAATGCTAACCAGGTTGTCTTCTTCATCAACTATTCAATTGCTCGAATCGGTGCGAAACATGTCTTCTTCATCAACTGCTCAAATCGGTTCGAAACATTTCCAATCAACATTAATCTATCTCCCAAAGTAGACCTCAGACATGGAGAGAAAGGAGAAAAGAACTTGTCATACAGACGATCAAGGAATAACTTGGCACCGCCAAAACGACATTAGAGGTTTGTTGGATGACGGAATGGGTGTAATAGCGAAGGTTGTGCGAGACTCTTATATTGCTGGCACCGCCAACTTCTACAATTTTGTTCACCACCGATCGCAACCATGGCATCGCCAATCAAATAATTGAGTTTTGGTTAGATTCTCCCATTGTTGTGAAAGGTGATCGCCTTGTTGCCAATGAGGCGAGACAACCCTTCATCCCCTTTCAGCTTTGTGACGATGCAATCTTCAAAAGGAGATGCCATGGAGAAAATGGCGACAAAAGCGAGAGGCAACAAAGGCGTTGCCTTTTGTATTTTCTTAAAAACAGGCGACCAATTTAGGGTTTTAAAAGTTAAAAAAGGTAATTTTAGGGTTTTCTTTTCAAAATGTACAATTACACTCTTAGACTGCGACTGCAACTCCGACTCCAACTAGTCATCCGTGACCAGGCGGACTTTTCCAGCAACTCCAAAGTCCAACCAATACGTATTTCTTCTTTTCTTCTTCTAATTTCTTTCTTTTTCTTATTCAGATTTCTTCTTCCTCTATTTTTTTCCTTCTTCTTCAGGCTTCAGAGTTACTTCCACCTCTATTTTTTCTCACTGATTTGACTTTTGTTATGTTTTTTTCTCATTCAAGTTCTAGACTTATAATATGTACCATCTATTTTTAATTTTTCAATTCAAATATTTGCTTGTATGTTATTGCAATTGAGATTTTGATTATTTATATATGCAATTAAATATTTTAATTTTTTGGTATTAATTGGAGCCGCACTTCAAAAAGGTGAACACCTCGCCACTCGCCTCACCTTGTGGCGAGGCCGACCCTTGTTGCCTTTTGTCAAATGTCTTCTTTTGCCGTCCAAAACATTGATTCTCCAATGGATGACACTGAAGAAGAAGAAATGGAATGAGACACTGGAACTGGAGTTTTTTTTTGTATAAGAGACGAAGGAAGAGGTCAGATTGTTCAGTAGAGAGAGAGACGGAGGAGAAAACAAAGGAGGAAAATAAGGCTATCCGCTTATATCTAAAAATAAGCAATAATTGGGCTATTTTGGGTAAGAACTATGGTCGAATGGTCACCTTGCCTAATTTTCTCTTTTTTAAAATTTCCAAATGGATTATTTTGTGTTTTTCCTTTAAAAGAAAAAGGGGCCCACAAAGACAGTTACAAACGCAGCAAGTAAGAAAACTGTTACTGCTAATAATGTTGCAGCTGCTGCTATTACAGATGGTTTGTGTATTATGATTCATTAACCTCACATCTGGTTAATAAGTTCAACAATAAAATAAGGCAAAAGTTGAATTAATACTCTTATTAACTGATGATCAGAAAACAGTGGAATTTAACGAACCTCAGAATTTATTAATTACTTTTAAGAACAATCATGATGATTTCAACAGTTCTAATTCTAGTATAGTGTTTTCTTGAAACTTCCCTACAGAATCTTGATACAAAATATTTTGTGAAAGCAAAAGGAGTGGGACAACTCATATTCCAACGGAGTACATCAAGAACCAAAAACTCCATTCTCCTTATGTCACTCGTAATTAAGTTAAAGTTTTTCATAGGATAATTCTGATAATGCTGGCACATTTCCTCTGTTTTCATCCATTTTTGCTGCCAATAATATACAGGCTTCTGATAATAACCTCACTGCCCTGTATTAGCAGTAGCAGTAGTAGTAGACAAGACATGACTCACTTGCAGCTCATCTAGGACATGACTGTAGATAGAAAGATATGGATGTCGAGGATTAGGGTAGAAGGGTAGTAGGTTGAGCATTGTCTAGTTCGCTTTTCAATATTGTTATTATTACTCTCCCACTATCTTATTCTTTGATATTAGTATACTGGTTGTTTCCTTTGCTTCAATTATCGTATCGTTTTTTTGTTGCTACTTGCCTTTTCTTCTTTGTTTTCAGCATAACTTCGTCGACTGTGTTTGCTTTACATACTTGATTTTTATATGCTTTACTTGAGCCGAGGGTCTATCAGAAACAACCTTTCTACCTTCACAAGGTAGGGGTAAGGCTGCATACATCCCACCTTCTTCTTCTGATCCAACTTGTGGGATTATAATGGGTATGTTGTTGTTAGTAGCAGTAATTAGTCAGGCAGAAGTAATAATTTTTTGTAATAAAACTTCGGTGAACCGGACCCTATAACCGAGATACGAATAGCAAAGTTTTAGAAAAATAGAACCGAAAAACTGAAATCGAAGAACTGAATTAGTATGGTTTGGTCCGGTTTTCAGTATTTATGTTCTGCTTACCCCTAGTAAGAAGTGCGCTTATTACTTCAATCCAGCATATTACTCCGTTCATTATTATAATACTATGTGTCCTGTATATGGGAAAGACATTACTTATTAACTTTATCATTTTCTAAGTTCGTCCAATGTCTGGCTGAATAATGGATGCCTCACATTGTCATGGAAATGCATATTGTTCTTTGGATACATGACATTATAGGAAACAGTTATTTCCTGGCAGACATCACTGTGTGATTAATGGTAGAAATAATCAGTCTGTTCATTTGGCACTCTTGAACTTTTCACTTTTGCCTATTCAGTCATTGGAGCTGCCTACTCTCTGCATGGTTGGAAAACTTGATATGCGGAGACAAATGGCTCAATACCTTCTCACGGGTGAGCTTCGTGTACTGAAATCTGCTGCACTATGGCTGGAAAATTATTGTAAAACTTAATCAAGAGTTTAGACAACATGCTTATGCTCATTTGAGAAGCAAAAAGCTAATTGCTGGTGGAGTCAGGTGCAAACTTTAGTTATCATAATTTGAATGGGCAGTTTTTCTTAAGGTGTTGTATTTGATTGAATGACCTTGGATCCTATTAAATATAAGAATTTGTTCTGTTTGCTTTCCTACTGATGGAAAACAATGATCTTCATTTGGCATTAGGGCATAAATCATCTATACTGTCACTGCAGATAATTTTGCTCCCTGTGGGGGAAGTCTGGTTTCCTCAAGTCTAAACTTATTGAACTTGCATGTAATCTTTTAGTTGACGAGGCCTTGCATAGCTGCTAAAATAGTTCTCAGGCCACTGTACATTGATGAGTAGATGAGTACTGCGTGATGGTTTCCCAAAAAAGTAGGAGGAATCAACACTTGTTTTAACATAATGAAGATACCATTTTTAAACAATTGATATGATTGGCATGTAAATATTCTGAAAATAGAGTTGCTCTGATTCATCATTCAGTGATTACTGAGCCAATTCATCATTATACCCTTTTCAGGCTACATTGTTTGCTCTCATATAGATGCAGATATAATATTGGGGAAAGGGAGGTCCAATTTTTCTTTCCTGGAATGTTTAAACTGCAATTTTATGGGGAACAATATTATTAGAATCAACTATAATACTATAGGTATTGTAAAATTTTCACTCGTCACATTGCGGATGAGAAGATGCATGAAGCATGGAAAGAGGGGAAAAGACGATTGATTAACCACTAGACTCTTCTCATGGATAACATAGTTGTGTTCAGAAATTCCTGAACTTGTACAATAAGCTCCCTGCCTTTCGTTTTCTGTAACTTATCTTCCAGTTTCTCTTTTCCTTATCTGTCTTTTTGGTTGCTTTGTCTATGTCTTCTTAATGAATGTATTCCTATTGGCTCTCATAGCTGTTAAATTGTGAGCTGTCTTTTATT